AAAGGGTGCGGTGGAGGATCGGGACGCAGGTCGGGCACTGTCTGGTCCAGGCCCTGGGGCTCTGGAATATGGTAGCTTGTATGATGGGGGACGATGTCGTCAGGTAGCCGATCTGGGAGGGGTGGGTTGAGATTGTTTCGGGGCGGGACTTGAATGATGATGGTGGTCGTGGCTGGGGGGCGATTTGAGGCGAAGCAGAAGTGGAAGCTGGCACGAATGAAGATGCTGGTGCTGGAGGTGATGCAGGTCTGCAACCAGATGAGAAAATGCCAGGTCAGCCAAGAACCGAAACGAAACGGAGGTGGTCGGGGATAGGTGCGTGGTGGTGGTGGGTGGGTGGGTGGTGGGTTATGGGCGATGGGGTCATGAATACAGGTAGCAGACGTCAGTGCACGCGCAGTGCAAGCGCAAGGGCCACAGGGGAAATGCAGTCAGCCTGGGCTTAGCTCGCGCGCACTCGCTTCCACCACGTCTCGTCGTCTCGCTTTTCATGGCGCGTTCCAGGGCATGATGGATGCCTGCAAGGGGCACCAGCGAGGACGGGACGTGGGGAGGAAGCTTCGGAGCCAGCCAGGCGCCGGGATGGTCGCTGCTTCAAGAACGAGGAACCCGAGCCCGTAGCTGACGGCTAGAACATCTTTTGACAGGCCCACTGACGGCGGGCAGAGGGGGGGATCCGAAGATGAAGAAACATGGGTAGAAGCAACTTACGAGTCATGATCTGCCCTCACACTTGCTGCACTGTTGCTATTAGGATGCGCATTGTTGCTGCCACTCTGATCCGCCCTGCTGATCCAGCTATGCCTTTTATCCATGGAGCTGCTGTCGCCGTCGGTGTAGTCGCTGCCCTGATCGCCATCACCGTCTTCAAAAAAGAGCGAAGACCTGAAGTCTTGGGTCGCCTGGTCGGCTTGTTCATGCCCCTCTTGCTGCTGTCGTCTCTTCCGTCGTCGTCGCTTGGCCACGATGGCTTTGGGAAGCAGTTTGCCCAAGCCGCCGTGGCTCGGGTCAAGGGGCTCCATTGGCTCGCGTTCTGTGAGCGTCCCCGTCTCCAGCGACCCAGAGAACCCGAGGGGTACGGCAGGCGTGGTGTCGGTACGGATTATACGAGATCGGGTTCGGGTTGAGCGACGTCGCAGATGCCAACGAAAGCTTGTCGTTCTTCAGGGTTGCGGTGGTACCTTGGAGTGAAGCAATGTGATGCGCAGTTGAATCTTAAAATCCCTCGACTCGGGGTATTTGGCCAAAACTGCTTTCCAATTCTCAGAGCTGCCCTGGAATCGTGACCGTCTGCACCATGTCTTTCCTTCCTTCGTGCCCTTGCTGCTGGCTGCCCTTGCTGCGTGCTACCTTCGTTCCTTCCCGCTTCCAGATGCCAATGCAGGCCTGGAGACGGAAGGAGCGTCATCATCGCACCAAACTGGGCAGTGGCTGCGGAGCTTCTGCTCCACATTCGCATGCCGTTGGAAGGCGCTACCCCAATAAGAGTGACACATGTACCACAGAGTCCAGTGACGCCACGAGGCGCTCAAGAGACACAGCGTGCTACTGGGTGAGATGGGAACGCCCCCATTCGAGAGATCGCCGATTCGTCTTCCACATCGGCTCTTCCGCCGCGTTGGACAAGTCCAATTCATCCACTCCTCCAACGACTACATGTAATCCTCCGCTTTCTCTGTCTCCTCGGCCCCGAACTTCCCCAAAAGCCGTCCGAGCCGGCGCGGCATGAAGAGCCTGGGTCATGCGTGGTCACCCACCATTGTCTAACAGGCGAGAATCGGTTGGGCAATTGGTGACCGCCGTCACACTGGACTAGCGATTCAAAATCGCGCCGCTAGTGCACGACAAAAATGGTTGCCTGTCCATGGCCTTCACGATGGAGTACACCCTCGCCTTCATGATGGAGGCTACCCCTGAACCTTCTTCAACAACCATCGAAAGGACGGGTCCTCGGGTTTCACAAACCTTGACCAACATGCAGGCAGCACTTCTAGGTGCAATTCAAACGCTAACCCCCTGGTATCATGCAACACAAACAAAGCCGCCAGGCACCCGCCATTACCATACGACACCAGCGCACGGCCGCAACGTTGCTTTCCGCGCACCCCTATCGCTCGTCCTCCTCTTCAATACCTTTGCCCTTGTCATCATCTCGTCGCCAAGTCCCCGCTCCCGTTACCGTCGGCCGCCGCTTTCGTGCCGATGCGCGCCGGGAAGACACACGTCGGAGACTCAGCGGGATCTCTGCCTCGCCCTCCACTGCCGTCTCCAGGCTGTCTGAACGCGCTCGACTGCCTCTGGTCCAGGTCCTATGCAGGTGTAGGCCTGTGTCTCCGCGCTCTGCTGCAGCCTGCCGACCTGTGGACAACGCCGTATCGTGTCTCTGCAGTCCTTGATCGAGTCTCTGGGAACCGGTATCTGGCCGGGCCGTGTCTGGCCTGGACAGACCCGTATCTGGCCCCTGTCCGACCTCTGCTGTTGCCTGTCCCGTGTTCTGTCTGGCCAGCCCGGACAGCCCGGTCCCAGGCCTCTTGATCCTTGTCCCCGACCTCCGTGACTCGGTCTTAGTCAAGGACGCGCCTGCTGCCGCGTCGTCTTCATCGACCGGTACCTCTCTCGTCTTGACGTTCTTCGCATATTCCTTGAACGTCGGCTTCTCCAACATGCCGCTTCTGAACGCGTTGACTCCCACTAGCAACTTTGCTAATTCCACCAGCTCTTCAAGGTACTCAATAATCTCCATCAGCCCCGCTGCGTTTGCATTCCAGCTGAGGAACTTGTGTTGCGTCACTACTCGTGCCGTGCGCTCGTCCTCGGCGAGTACCCTCTCGGGACCTTGCATGCTTGCCATGTAATTCCGCATCCCGCCCTTCCCCGCCCCGCCGGCAGCAGTGGCCATCTCGCTGTGTTGTGCAGCCTTGTCGGTGAGAGCCTGCCGGACACGGTTTATGAGGCGTAGCATCGCCAGGCGTGCCGAAGGGATGAATTGCGGCAGCGGCATGCGCGTCGTCAGCGCCTGGTTCACGACGAAGAGAGCGATGGCGATGGATGCCGCCACGGCGCGACGGTAAGCGTGTACCTCGGTGTTGAGCTCCTCCAGGACCGAGCTGCCATAGACGCGCCGCACCTGGAGCATGTTGTCCATTCGGTCGACAATCTGATGCAGGACGTAAATGATCTCCCGGTAAATTGGATGCAGCTGCCGAAAGCTGCCCTTGAGCCGTGGCTCTGTCAGGCAGAACGGCAGAAATGTCTCTGCAGCCGATAATGCGCCCTGTGCCTTCTCCCGAGACCGCTCGAAGCGCTGCTGAACCTTGTCTGAGCGCAACTGAAGGTTCTTTGGGGTTGTCAACGCCTACGGGCGATGGCTGTCTGCATGCTGCTCATCTGCTTGATCGAGGTTGAGAGGGACTCTACCATCCTGTCGCGAGCTCTGGCGGGGTAAAGAATGAGCTCCACGAGGAGACCAACCGAACAGCCGATGAAGAAGGTCACTAATCGTGTGTAGAGGTTCACGTGTGACACGGTGTTTTCATTGACGGTTGCTATAGATCGTGAGCAGGTCAACATAGCTGACTTCGGCAAGGGAAACATACTTAAAGCGACAGCCGTCATCGAGGATATTGCCACCATGCCCGTCTTGACGTATTTCGTGCCGAGCTGGATGTATACAGATGGCACCACTCCGATGACCAGAATAACTACCAGGGGCGCTCTGTGGCTGCCGCCGGCTACGCACGCCGCATATCCCATTACACAACCGAAGGTGACACCTACCAATCTGAGGATGAAGACGAAAAATGATGTGCCGATAACGACCTCGAAGATCAGGATGAGTTGCAGGGGCGCCCAGACACCCCGGACTTTCGCGTACCACTCGTGCCACGACGGGATGAAGCCCGGCCAGCTGATGATGAAAAAGGCGATGGCAAGCTTAATCGCATAAATGGCATCGTCCGATCTCTGGAGTGACTCGTAGACGTCGGCCACGCGCGCCCGGATGCGGCTGGTGATGCCTCCGGACGCTGCGGCACGCCGCTCTTCCTTCTTCTTCCTCTTCACCTCGTCATTCGTTGTCGGCGGAGTCGGAAATGGCGGCTTTGCGTGTTGAAAGCTCGCTTCCAGTACGTTTGGCACACTCTCCACATCAGCTCTCTGCCGTGCGAGAGGCCTGTCGAGCTCCTCAACAGTGCCTTCTTCCTCCATCCTACTCTCCTCCTTGGGTGTAGGAATTCGCCCCGACCGGCCCTTCTTGCGCATCGTCTGCGGCAGAACCATGGCATCCCTCTCGCCGCCGGTCGACAGCCACTGTCGCCAACCAAAGTATTCGGGAAAGTGGATGCTGATCCTGTGCCGCCTGTGGCGCTTCTCGACGAGGAGACGAGCGTAGCGCAGCAGCTGCAGCATGTGTACGGCCGACTGCCGCAGGCCCAGCAGGAAGGACGATACGAGAAACGTCTCCATGCGGGGCATGATATCGGTCTCTCCGTCCTTGGTCGTGGTCGCGCGCTCGAGCTCCTCCGTGGAGCAAAAGTCGTAGATGGCAATGGCGTCCATGAAGGCGTCAATGTGGATGTCCATCTCTTCGAGGATGATCCTCTTGGGCGTCGGCATGCCCGTCTTCAGCTTTGGAAGGCCGTAGCAGTACGCTAGGCTCGTCGTCACCGTCAGGGCGGCCTGCCGCAGCGCCTCGGTAAAGTCCTTGGTCGGCAGCTGGATGCGCTTGATGATGGCTTCGAGAACCTCGGGATCGCCTGCTTCCAGCTCGCGCAGCGCTTGACGGATTCCAATGCGTCGAGAGGATCTTCCTCGGCCAGCGTCGTCGGGTTTCTGAACTTTCTAGGGCCCAGAAGCTCTTCAAGGGCCGAGGGCGCGCTGGAGCGGCCGCACGAATGGATCCTCGTCCTCGGTATCGGTGGCATCGTCGGGTTCGCCGTCGCCTAGGAGGACAAATTTGTTCTCGCACGCGCCGATTAACATGACGGCATTGTGTACGAGACCAGGCATGGCTTTCGTGGTGATGGGTTTGAGGCTGGAGGGCGGCAGGGGGCCGATGGCAATCTCGAGGTTGACCTCGGACTGCCCAGCGCGGCAGCGCTGCAGGCCTGACCGCAGCGCAGCTTTGCTGGCCGTCAGTGCGGCCAGGCCAATGTGTTGGGCGGGGGCGCTGATGACGGGCGCTCTCGATCCGGGTGTGGACAAGGGATTCCGTAATCCGGACCAAAGATGGTGATACCAAGGTCGTTTCGCGCTCGAACCAACTAATGTTTTCACGGTGCCGGCCGTGCTCGGCGAGGCTTCGGCCGGGTGGTCACTCCGGGGTTTGTCTGGGCCATCCCCAGGGCTGAGGAACCAGTTTGTGGAGCGCGTCACGGCCAGCGTCGTCTGATCAATGGCATCGATGGTGGCGTGGGCGAGGAAGTCGTTGGAAGGCTCCGGGAAGATGGAAAAGTTGATCAAGAAAGTGACCACCATTCCTATCAAGATGGGATAGGCAACATACGTGACGATGGTGCTCGTGAGCGCCCGCCACGGGCCCATGAGGATGATGGTAGAGGAAGTTAGGTGAAAGAGAACGTAGACGATCAACCTCGGGCTGGACGAGCGAAGATATCCGTGATGAACAACGGCACATAACAGAAAGAGAGCTCGAATAGCGAACGCGGCCTGGAGGTTGTCATCGACGGCCCGGCTCGATAACCAGAGACCGAGCGAGCCCCACGCCGTTCCCATTGTTGCGCCGACAAGGGTCAGGAGTAGTCCCTCGACCATGGCGCCCATTCGTTGGCCCGGGTTGGCGAAGACGGTTGTTAAGGGGGCCAGAAAAGTAGTGCCGGGGAAGAGGGCAACAACCTCAGGGATCAGGACAATGATGATGGTGAGAGTCGTCGCTATGGAATACTTGACGACGCGCCGCCATAGGTTGTTGCTTCGGAGGTTGGTCCATGTTGCAGCGGACCAGGCGCGTGACTTGAGAAAGCCGGAATGAAGCCATCGCGGTCTGTGTCCATGTCGCAGTCCTTTTGTAGGCGCCGCCTCGGCTTCAGCCATATCCGTTGCTGAGTTGGCCAACGCTGTACGTTGAGCCACGGAGGCAAGTGGCTTCCTGCAGACCGTGAATGCGCTTCAGACAATAAATCGATAGATGCGGTTGCTGGAAATTGAGAATCACGATCCCGAGGTATGCAAATTCGACCCCCATGACTCCATGGCTTTGATCTGAATATGGTGGAAGTCTAAGTCTTGGTGGGATGAAGAATGGGGGCAGGAATATTCGGCAGCGTTGGGCACATCGTTCGCGGGCCGGCAAGAAGATGTCGAATGTTAGGTCGCAAGTGGCAGGCAGACGTGGATCTGGAATGAGGTGAAGTCATCTGCCAAGGTGAGTACATGTAGCATTGACGGGGGCGCGCGAGTCGTGTGTTCTGGAAACCGGGTCCGGTTCCGGGGAGTTGATTCAAGGAAGGACCCAAGAGAAGAGAGAGAGATCCTTGGAGGGATCCAAGGTCAACATGGCCAAGATAAGTGCCCTGTACTAGTGGACACACCAAGATAGCTGAATAGCAAGGACTGGGGCCAAGACAAGGCTCTGACATGTCTCGTTCATGAGTAATTCGGTGGTAGCATGTCACCATGTTGATGAATATCACGGTGCCTACCATCTTGATCGACTAAGATGACGGATATGTCATGCATAAGACATGCTTGACAGGTCTCATGCAGACGAAGAAGTCTCTGCAGCACCTACCCAACACGAAAAGCGAGCTGTCCGAGCGAGTTGGACCAAGCTCACAGGTCCATATTGGGCATTCATCATTTTTTGCAAGCCCTAGCCTCGACTTGGGTACCGAGAAGATGCAAATCCTCGATTTCTGATACTGGTCATCCCAGCAGGGGACGTGAATAGTCGCCTGATAGACGAGAGAGCAACATGGTTGTGAGAACTTTGCTTGTTCAGCAGCCTGTATGTGCAGGCATTCCCTAACTACCCAGGTACTTAGGTCGGTAGGTACCTACCCTACAGGCATCAAGGACTGTCCGGGCAGACACAGTGGGGTACACAGCATCCTTTGGTGCCACTGATCCCCGCACTCAGGTCTTCCGCCTGAACCTCCAGGCGCCGTCGCTTGCTCTCGAGCAACAGCACTCCCACTCTCCACTTGAAGGTGTCTGGGGCGATTAGATAACGCCCGGGCCTGCTCCCGTCAATCCGTCTGGCTTGCGATCGTCTGCCTGTCACCTTTGACTCTGCCAAACACTACACTCTTCAGACTTGACCTTCAGGCAACAGCTTACTTATTTCTGCCTTTTTCCCAGACATTCCCCCTTGATCGAACACATACATCTGCATCTCAAACCGCTCTAGACGGCTGCCGCCCATCATGCCTCCCCCTCCTGCGTCCTTAATCGTAAGTGACCCCGCGTTGATCCCCCGCCACTGCAAATGACGTAGACCCCGCTAACGACGCAACTCGCGCGCGCGCCATCCAGACCAAACTCAAGGTCCAGCTCAAGCTGGCTATCGCCCGCCTGCGCATGGTCCAGCAGCGCGATGAGGCCTTGGGCAAGACACAGCGCCGCGCCATGGCCCAGCTCCTCGAGGTCGGCAAGGTCGAGAGCGCCCGCATCCGCGTCGAGAATATCATCCGGTCCGACATCACCAACGAGCTGCACGAGCTCCTCGAGTTGTACTGCGAGCTGCTCATCGCCCGCGCCGGCCTGCTCGAGGGCTCGACGTGCGACCCCGGTCTCGAGGAGGCCATCAAGAGCATCATGTACGCCGCGCCCAAGACGGAGATCAAGGAGCTGCAGGTCGTGCGGACGTTGCTCGCCGAAAAGTACGGCAAGGAGTTTGTCATGTCGGCCATGGAGAACTCGGACGGAAAGGTGGCGCCAAACATTGTGAAGAAGCTGAGCGTGACGCCGCCGCGGGAGGAGCTCGTCGTGGGATACCTCGAGGAGATTGCGCGAGCATACAACGTCGACTGGCCCAAGCGCCAACAGCTCGGCGAGGCGCCAGACCTGCTCGACGACGACGACACTGACGGCCCCGGGGAGGATGGCGAAGGCGGTGGAGGCGGCGGTCAGAAGGTTCTTGCGGAGCCGGATCTCAAGGCCGAGAAGGAGCAGGAGATGCTGAGCAAGGCCACTCCGCCAAGGACGATCGGGGGCCCGAGCAGCCCTTTAACGGTCAATCCGCCCAAAATGACAACTGACAATGTCCATCCGCAGGTCAAGGTCAGCTCGCTGAACCTGAAACCGAACCAAAAGATGGCCAACGCACAGAAGAAGACGGACTCCAATGGACCTGGTGGCGCGGTACCCGACATTGCTGAGCTCGAAAGGAGGTTCGCCGCCTTGAAAAAGCTGTAGCATTGAACATGTCGATGATGGTGTTTTCGGTTCAATGGGCTGGCTCTTGGGATTGGATGCTTCATATTTAGCGAGCATATGTTTTGTTATTTTGTTGAAAGCTGGTCAAGGACCTGTTTATCGTTGCTGAATGGACCGACCTATGTCTGATGTGACTACCTAGCTTACCAAGACGTACGCTTTGCATCGCTGTGCTTCACAATCATGATTTGCACTCTCAGAACCTTGGAAAGCATTCCCTTACTTCGGAATAATATCAAGGCAGGCGTCACTGAAGCTTACTACCTGTTAAGGCCCATATGAAAGGAGTTGGTGGCTGATCAACTAGTCAGCGCTGGTCGTCTGTAGTCCTATTGTTCCCTTCAGCCCTCTTGCTGCTCCTTGCATCCGAGCCTTGGAACAAATGCAGACACGTTCAGTCTCCTACGTATAAAGAGCAACAGCCAGTGATTCATAACATGTTTTGCATTAAAGGTCATCACCAGACATTGGTGGTCTTCTTCCCCATAAGCACGCATCGTGAGAGCTCGTCCAACAACGACGCCGCGAGGTTTCACTCCTCTTGTTGGAACTCCTACGAGGCGTCCCGCTGTGGCTGTTTCGACCTGAAAGCAGGAAGAACAATCACGCCGCGGCTATGGACGATAGCGATTTGGCCAAGCTAGGACTTCCCGGCCTGGTGTATATCAGACATGCCCCCCAAGGTGATTTTCAAAATCAGCTACGGCGTCAATTCGAGAATGGGATATCGGACGAAGATGCCATCCTAGTGGGCGCGGCCGAATGGATGGCGGAACAGGTGCCGCACCTTCCTCTCGTCAACCACAAGAGCAACTCTCCCGTTGTTCGAAAATGGGTTGGTTTTCTTGCCAGTCTAGGCTGTCCCAAAAACAAGGTCTTGGATCACTTTACCCGATCCAAGAAAATCAGAACATACCGCGGAGATGGCAGACCGGCAACCGACTCTTAAGTTTTGGAACATCGCGGAGCGACTCATGGACATCACATACGATGGCAAAAGAGCAAAAGGCGTCCGAAGGAATAAGCCGGTTTGCCACCCCGTGCTTCAAAATGGCTTGTAATGCTGTTCCACACCTCCCTGGCAAAATATTCCCATCGAGAAAATGATCCGAAACTCGAGATAAGCTCTCCAGGCCCCAGCATCTCCCAGAGACCTGCTCCCCCCGAAGTTCAGGGGATCAGCCGACCCCGTTCTCGGTCGGGTAAGGCACCCAAGGCTACAGATCAGAAGAAGGAGATCGTCCTCGTCTCATTCGTGCGACCCGTACCAAAGACCGGAGGCTGCGACAGAGCAGATGTTGTCGACCACACTCCCTTCGACGAGGGATCGCCATACCGCAAGCGCCAGAAATTGACTGAGCGCCTCCACGGAGCGGCTCTTCGACAGACGAACGACGCGACAAGCCTTTCCCCGACGAAAACAAAGAAGTCTCAGGCCAAAACGAAGGCATGAACAATACACAACAAGACATGTCTATACGTTTGGGAACACGATCGTTTGAGAAAATCACCGGGTCAAGATCGCGACAATAGACGCGAAAGAAAAGCGCGAGCTTCGCCGCACCAACAGTTGCCATCACCAGACCCTAAAGATACCATCATATGCAGACCTCGTCTCGCCTTGATACGAACCCCAAGCCCTGTCAACGATCAGCCGCTCGAAACTGGCCCCCTTTGGCCGTGGTATAGCGTGGATGACAAGCCCTGCCAGAGTGAAGAGCGCAGAGGAGTTTGCATCGGGGCCCCCATTTCGCAAACTGACGAAGAACGGGCTGTCATTCGGGCGGATGTATTCCTGGATGGGCTGGCCTCCGAGTTGACTGCGAAAAGCTGTGGCGGCCGTACGTCGCGGGCCATGGCGTGATCCCATGACCGCAAGCGAGACAATATGCACATAGAAATCCGATGAATCATGGCATTAAAAGATCTTTGCCAGGGATAATTAGAAAAGAAATAGACCTAACTCAATTGAACGCCCAACGCCCTCCCAGTCATGATGAGTTCCATCCTCCATGCAGCCGCCCTGAATGTTGTATTCACCTCATGCTTTCTCCCTCCTTTTGTTCGTTCACTCCAGCTTGTCCAGATGTTCCAGTCGTGTCAACACAACCTGCTTACTCGTCTCCTCGATTTCACCGGCCAGGAACACCTCGTCGAGAATGGCGTAGACCTTGTAAAAGTTGAAGACGAGATCGAGCTCGCACACGTTGCCGAAGAAGGAGTCGAGGACCTCGACGAAGAAGTGGATGGCCTCGAGGTAGGCGAGCTCGTTGTCGTTGGTATCGACGCAGGCGCAGAAGAAGAGCCCGGCGTAGCGGCGGTAGACAATCTTGTTGTTGCGGTGCTCGACAAAGTTGGACTGGTACTTCTGGTCGCGCGGAGCGACAAGACGGTGGACCTGGGACGATGAACATTGTCAGACATGGTGAGAGCGGATACTCGGGCGACTGTGGGAGGTAGAGGAAGCAAGCGTACCTCGCCCTTGAGCTTGATCTTCTCGTCGTCGCTGTATGGGGCGTACCACTTTGCGAGGCGGGTTTTCCCCCTGAAGGAGGGGTGCATGTTAGCGACGGTACGGGACGGGCGGGAACGGGGCCAGCCATGTGGCTAAGGAAGGTCCGAAGAGCGAGGAACGTACTGTCGGTTCTGGATCAGGATAAAGGACAGCATCTTCACGGCGGTCCGGCGCGCATGGGCGGCGCTGTACGTTTCGTCTGGAGCTTCTTCCTCGGGGGGGGGGGATCTCAAGATGTAGTCGCCGGACCCCGAATTGGCTGACCAAGAAGACCGACCGCCCGTCTAAGCACCGTGCTGGGCGTGCTGTACATGAGGTGTGGGCACCTATGTGAGGTACCTAGGTACGTACCGTGTCAGGGGAAAAGGGCAGAACGCTCAGGCAGATGCAGGCACCGACTGATCTGCCGCACTTCACCGCCTTGGGTGGACCTACAAAACCGCGTCGCGTCCCGCCTCCTTTAGACTTTTGGTTCCTTTCCTTTCTCCATCTGAGTGCAAGGGCTTTACGCGTATCAGTGAGGATTCGTCCGAGATCGTGTTTTTGCTAGTTGAAAACTATAACTAAGACCACTCCTAGTTGGCTTCGGCTGGCTAGGGAATTTTTGTAATCCTTCTTCTTCCTCGATGGATGGAAAACTTTCTCTCTCTTTCTCATTGCTCACGCCTACGGGCTGGGGTGAAGAGGATGTGTATGCAGCGTGGCTCGCCATCAACATGGCTGCGCGTTTCCTATAATGACAATAACAAAGACGATGATGACTGTTTGACAACTGAGCATCGTGAGGGACGCAAAGGTCTTGTAGCCTTCGATCATGGCGGTTGTCGATCTGGACACGCCGTTGCCTGTTCGCTGGACCGTACTTGTACGAACCAGCAACTTTCGCATTTTCGACCGCGTCTCTCACTGGCTTGCCTTTGATGTCTGTGTAGGTCATACCGTTGCGAGGCTAGCAGCCTCGGCTGCTCGTTTCGTTTGGCCATCCACGGCGCCTAGGAGCTCGAGAGTGCCGAGTTCATCAGAAGGACCCTACAAGATACGACAGCGACGGACGCGCAAACAGAAAACAGGACAAGCAGCAGCAAATACGGTCAAGGCGCGTAGTATGTAGTCAGTTTTCTCATCTTACAGCATTGATGACACATTCAAAACACACTGGGCAAAGAGCTTTTTGCCCGTCCCTCTACTAAAAACACATCTGTTGGTATCCGGCCCTTCAAGCTTCCCAAAGACGTCATCGACGCCAAACGACAGGAGGGCATAGTACTGTCCTCCCTGCCGCCATCTTGCACCACATTGCGTTCCTTCCCCTGCCTGCCTCATGCCGGCAAGATGTCCTCCTCGCCCATATCCGCGTCCTCACCCGTGGCGGCGTTGATGCCGTCGACGGTCTCGCCATCGAACACCTTGCCGTGCTCGTACGTCTTGCGTCGCCAGCCTGAAGGGTCCGACGCGTCCTTGATCCACTCCATGGTCGGGAAATAGTGCTCGTTCTTCTTCATCGTGATGACCCATGGCACACAGTCGAACGTGCAGGCTCTTAGGCGGAAATCTGTTACGAGTTCCGTTAGCTCTCAAATTGCTACGAAGCATGATCAAAGTATTCGTAGACTCACAAGTATTGTCCGGGATGTTTTCCACCGCGGCGAGAAAGGCCGGCAGGTCGTGCGTCGGCTTGTCATTGACGTGGGTGATGAAGTTGGTGGGAGCAAGGCCGTACTGGTACGAAGGGGAGCCCCTCGTGCGTGCCGAGACGTAGACCTCGCTGTGCAGCTTGCTGATCTGCTGCCTGACGGCATGATGCGGCCTCTGGAGGACGGCTCCACAGAATGACACGGCGTGGTCCGTCTCGACATCGTCCGCGGCCGATGTGTGCACCTGGATCGTCATTTCTTGCTTAACACGCACGACGACAGCCTCGATAACCTCATGCGAATACATGACGTCGAGCTCTGACACCCTCGTAATCACCTTGCCGTTGAGGCTGAGGACGATGTCGCCCTCGAGCAGCGCGCCGGGCTGCTCCGTCCGTTCAAAGGTGCGGTTGCTGACCATGAAGAGCTGGTGGTGCGTCTTGTTGGCCTCGGTGACCTTGCGAATCCACTCGTCCGAGACGCCCATGTCACGCGCCTGCAAAAGCTTGATGGCACGGAACTCCACAGGGAGTAGTCTGAGTTTGGGCAGAACACCCTGCTGGATCTGAGAGATCACCGGCAACAGTGTCGGTGTCGCGAGACCAAGATGGTACTCCTCGTCGCGGTTGCTGACCGGCGAGCGCTCTCCGAGGTACGTCAGCCATAGGGCCTGCACAGAACCATCAGCTGCGACCAAAACGCCGCTACCACACTGGCTGCTGAGACTCGTGTCGACAGTGATGGCGTCAACATTGACAGCGCGGTACCTTGGCGCTCCCGAATTAGCAGGAATCGCCACTGGTGTGATCTCCGTCACTGTTGTCGTCGCATGCACGATGCGGCCCAGTCTGTTGTAACCGATAAAGTTGGTGGACGCTCCCTGAGAGATGGGCTCGCTGCTCAGCTTGGCGCTCAGCACAGGCGCATCTACAAGTTTTGGGTCGTACTGGATGATGGCATAGTTTTGCAGCGGATGCAGGAAAACAACCTTGCCGTCCACGAAAATCGTATCGGCGATGCTGACCGTTACGTCACAAAGATCATGGGGGACAACAGCCCTCGAGATGATGACAAGGCCCTTGTCAGCGTCTATCACGAGCCCCATGCCCCATTTGCGATTCTTCGGGAAGCCGTCCAGTTTGACTGGCATGGTACAGTTGACAAGCACAAAGCTGCGGACCAGGTCGGCAACGGCAGGGTTTGATGTGTACTCGAGCTGGATGAAGGAGCCAGACTGAGGTACCGTCGGAACCGGGGGCAAAGCATCACCCAGATCGGAAAAGTCCCAAAGGCCAGTCTCGTCATTTCGCACCGCCATCTTCATCTTGGCCGACCAATGCCTGTCCACATTGATAACGGTCGTGTTGAGAGTATGCAGGTCACGAAGGTGCTTGTAGGTAACGACGACCCTGCGACGATCAGGAATCTCTTTCATCACCTCGACAAACGTATCGAGATCGGGCGTGTTCTTGCCGGCCACGCTCTGGATGAGCCAGCCATTGTCTGCGCTGTCGAAACGGAAAGACCCGTTGC